GAATGTCATTACGTACTGTCATCGATGACATGAGTAGATTGAACTCATTCCTTACATAAAGTCGTAATTTTATGGATGAATTGAGTGATTTTTCTTTCAATGTTATTCAGATTTGGTGCTGAAGAGCCGATGATGCAAGTGTCTTACGACGACACATGTTGACATAAGATGGATTGCATTTATAGTTATTGGTTAGTTGGGATATTTAACTAAGAGTAAGTTTCCGAAGCAGATGTATTTACTAAAACTTGGTTGACCTCGAATTTCCATCAAAGGTCACAGATTCTTTATATATTATAAAAATATAAACATATACATATCTTAGCAGATATGGAAATATGAATTTTCAGAACCATAAACCTCCTTTGAATCTAAAAGGTGTGTATTTCTAGGAGAGATTAGTTGTTTGGGAAAAAAGCTTTTTGACTTTCTGCTTTCCATCATTGATGAAAGAAGAAAGATAATGGATTCAATGACATAGAATAGATCATGCACAGAAGTTCCTATCGGATATAAACTGGAAGAAACACTTGAAATAACTACTTTGAATTACACGAAAATCTTTTTTTCTCGTTCACACGTTCGTTATGGAAACATATATCATTCATAAGAACGCTACACAACGTAATATATGAAAGGGTATTCATGTAAAACTTTACTTATGTGGAACACTATCATCCTTGATGGTGTACTTCGAAGTTTCGGGAAAAGACTTGTCTTATTACCTTATCAGCACTGTATTGATTAACGTTTCAAGATGAAGCACTCATTTCTTTCATGACATTATGTCCCCAGAAGAGACAACTCCGCTCTTGTCTCTTGTTACCTAATTCAATCTCAGCCATACTAGGTGTTTCAAAAGGTTTTTTCCTGTTTGTATCTCGGATGATCTCATTGTTATTTTCTTTCTTCTTTTCTTCGGAATTTCCCACATTTTTTTGTTTAATGATGAAGAAGCAGAAAGCTTTTTTTTTCTATAATTGGGTAATTATTTTTTTAATATAACATTTCAGTTGAATAATCAATAGCGGGTTTATTCAAAGATACCTAAGAACTAAACCTAATAACTATTTTTTTTATTGTAACTAAGATTACACCCGAGAACAGATCCAAATTTCAAACAATCCTTTTGTAATTGCTGTAGTGAATTATTACAGCTGTAAATATTTCAATGTGGTGCATGATTATTTTCGTTTCAACTTAAGCTTTTAATTATTAGTTGAATGTTTCTAGGTATAGTCCTCCGTTAACGCTCCCGTTGAATCGTTATGGTTGAACTCTTAGTTCTTAGTCTAAGGAGGTGTGTTGCATAAACCTGTTATGACATCAAAACACAGTAAAATTAAGTTCATAATTACATGATAAATTTGCATAAAACGAAATTCTTTTTCTCTGGACAATGAGTTCAAAAATTTAATCCATCATTCATCTCCAGTACCAATAAATCTCTTTTTTTGCTGCGATTTGGCTATTAATTTATCATAATAATAAATGGTTTTTATTTCGCGTGGCGGAGTTTAGCAGAGTGCTATTCTTCCACTCAACCATGTTTGAAAAAAAGAAACATAACAAAAATAAATGGCAATTTCAGGACAATAGTAAAATGAAATACAAATGTTTATGTTTGGATCACTGTTGACGGAGCAATTCAGTTTTAAGTTTACTTTCGAATAGTGGTAGTGATGAATTTTTCAAACATTGGCTGAATGAATTATACATTGTTACAGCATGATATGTGAAGGATCGTTCCTAGATGTCAAAATTATTATTAAATCTAATGTTTCTTGAATGGGAGGAGTTTCTTTACCAAATAAGTGGGTTGTTGGTTTTTTATCAGTTTGTGAATGAAACAGGCGAAATGCAATTCTCTTCTGTTTTGCATTTTTAAACAATGTAATTGATAGATTGAAAGGGTCACATGATCTCTGTAATTCGAGCTGAATATTAGTCTTAATTTTTTCAGAAGTTAATGAATCGATACAAGGGTCATAGACGACATCGCCATAATTGAAAATAGATAGAATCAGTAAGTTTAAAAAGGTAATTTTGAGAGGCCTACTAAGATAGTGTCTGCTTGAATACAGATGTTTCAGTGTACCATACGACCTTTGAATGAGAGTATTGACTTGATGAACACATCTGAAGTTGTAGTCTATATGAAGTCCTAAGCATTTTATTTTGTCCGTCAATTCCACAGAATGTCCATCGATATGCAATCGATATAATCTGTGGTCCTTCCACGATCTTTGGCTTTTCTAAAAATTATTAGAGATGATTTACTAGGATTAAGGTTTAGACAGTGTGGCTGCGAAATCTGAACAATCATTATTGAGCGATGTTTTGTGATCAATAAGATGATTTAATTCATCGGAGTAGTACAAGTTCGTGTCGTCTGCATATTTATGAATATTGAATAACTTAAGTACATTGGAAAAGTCAGATAAAGAGTAGCGTGGCGAGAATTGAACCTTGCGGGACTCCATGACATACACTCATATTATCAAACTGACTACCCTGTATCACAACACGTTGCTTTCTATTTGTTTTTAATGAACTAATAAAGTCACATGCGTCCATACTGAAACCAAAAAAAAAACAAGTTTAGCGCACATCATACTGTGATTCATGGTGTCGAAAGCCTCACTGTAATCGAGATACAAGAAAAGAGTGACATTTTCGTTATCGGTGGCTGAAGAAAATATAGTCGGTCATTTTCAATAACATATAAAGGTATTCGACTAAGAACATATTCAATCGTAAATGTAATCAAACATGTACAGCTATTATAATTTGTTATTATACTTAAAATAAAATAAAATGAAAAAACAAACACTTTAATACAATATAAAGACACAGTTCAAGATTATTTAGCTTTCAACCAGTTCTGTTTAATACAATATATCAATCGTTTGTATTCCTGCTTGATAAGAGTGAGACATATGTATTTAAAATGGAGTTCAATTTTCATTTTCCTTGAAATAAAAATATAAAAACAAATAGTATAATACAGTAACACAATTTTCAACTTAGCGAATATCAAACTTTTAAACAGTTCAGTTCAATACAATATATCAATAATCTATATACCTGTTTGCTAACAGTGATACATCGGTATTTAAAAGGTTTCCAATTTTCATTTTCCTTCGATTGAATTGAAAAGTCAAATTTTCTTGAAATTGCATTGTTTTGTAGAAGTTAAGAAGAGTATCCGGAGGTTCAGTCGCAATCTGAGTGAACGAAGTAATGAAGTGATTGTTTATTTCATTTGTCTCAATCGATGAAATTCTCGGATTGGAATGGAATGGGGGGAACGTGAAATCAAAGATTATTATTTGTCGATATGTTTGACTGTAGTATGGTTGAGATGATTGCATCAATCACTTTCTATATAGATAGTCGATGAGTTTATTAATTGTAATGATAACGTCACATAACATTAGAACTGTCAATTGAAAACTAAAATTGTAAACAAGTAGAGTCGCTATATGAACATGAATAACAACTGAAGAAACATGATACTACATGACAAAATTTTCTTTGGTGTTTTTTTATAAGTTCCGAAGCAAATTATGGCACTTTGAATTATTTTCAACCTATCATTTGAAAAGAGTATTGTATACCGATGTATTTGAGTATAGGTAATCAGTTATCCTTACTGTGACTCGCTCGGTCTCATTTACATCATGCTCTGATGTAAACTGAATTGTTTGATAATTCCCACCTGATCTGTTTTGAAAGGGAACTTGCTTTGTTTAGAAATTAGCAAGAAATCCGTTATCGCAAACATTCAAAGGAGGTGTGTCAGTGACGTTATGAAATGCTGACGTAAAACCGATATTTTACACAACAACAAACAAGGTCAAGCCTGTTGGCTGAAACTGATTTCAATGACAAAACTAACGACTGAATATTAAATATTTTTCTATTTTCACAATGAATTGAAGTTCACAGTGTCACTTGGCAATGAGTTAATAATCAGTAAATATTGAAAAATAATGTTTTGATAAAAAATATCAATGTAGATTTCCGAACGTGCATCAGTAATCATTGGTATTCACTTTGATATGAGGCATCGAAGATACGACTGAAAATTCAACAACTAAAATTGTGTAAGATGCTATTCGAAATATGCATATGTTTTTATGAACTTTATTGGGTTGAGTAAGCCTCTTTACAAATTTCATAATACTTGTTACCAATGGCAACTAGATATGATTATTTTCCGTCAACACGTTCGAGTTGTCAACTGCGATTAGGTATTTCAAAATGAAAATCATTAAATTTTGTATTTGAATATTATTTAAATTGAATGTGATATTTCTTAATGGTTGAGAATTCAAGAATAATATTAGACTGCGATAGAGTTGAGGTGAGTACCGTTCAAATATTCTTGGGTACAAATCTGGTGAGTTACATTGTTTCTGTCATTTATAGAATCATTGACCTGCTCCAAGTGTAATAAAATGACAAAATTGACATTTTTCAACCACAGAATGTCATTTTCGTTCCTTGAAATTATGCGTTATTCGCATAAATTTATTCTTAGGCTTGTGATAAACCGACCCCATTTGTGACTAGATGACAATATTACAAGGCATTTTTTCATTAGTTTGGCTTTGTTATATTACTTAGTCCCAAAATGCTATGTTGATTATCGCGCCTAAAAATTTTAATTTTGTGAAATAATGTTTGACTTTGTTGTTTACTGCAGTGAATGAATTTGCTGACATGAAATACATTTTTTAATGGTAAACAAATAATAAGACAAAAAGTTACATTGGAAATAAATTTTAGGGGTTGCGTTTTCCACCCCTTACAACCATGGGGTAAACCAAATAAATTACTGGCCAAGTGTCTTTTGGTAGTACAAAACGTCAGGTTAATTTCAATATTGTNCTTTGTTGTTACTAGAATATCTTTCAAATGCTAATGCTACCAACCCGCATGATCTATTATTATCAATCCATTTTTATCTTAACTTTTGGCGTTTGTTTTGGTCATATGATGATTTTTTTTCAGATTTGTACAATGGCCAAAGCTTATTCCTAGGCACCACTTCTAGTTGTAAGCAGTGTTAGCAGTGCTAAAATTTCACCAATAGTTTTTAATTGTCAACTATTCTGTACAATTCTAAATCTACAGCATTCCTTTGTACACTGAGACTGGTGTATTATTTTTTTTAAACTGAACAAACAATTCGAAATGGCAACACAAGAAGATCGATCACTTGGATCTGGAATTACCATTCCGAAGTGGATGAAGAGTAAAATGAATGACAAGTAAGTTCGACTTTTTGTATGAATGTTTAAAAGTTGATTGGGTATTTATATAGGTAAAATTGTTAGTTTTTCATATTCCTGAAACTGTATTCCGAAAATTGCCATCTTTGGCTTTTCTTGTAACAGTTTCCAGTACTTACATTATGTTCAAATCAATTTTATTGATTTTTGAAGTGGTACCTAATAGATAGATCAATTGTTTACAAGAAAACAACACTTCTCTTCACAGATACCAGTGAAGTAAATGTCAAACTGTAGTTTTGTTTTTTTACAATATACATCCCCATTACTTGAATATGTCGAAATTCTGCATTTTAAAATTGTAAAAAATACTCTATAAACCAAATAAATAAGGTGTAAGTACTCTACAATATTCACAAATGAATAAACAAATGAACAGAAATCAAATAGTTAGACTAAAAAAAAGTCACAGTTGGCTGATTCATACACCAAACTTATCCCTTACTTTAAAAAAGTCGCCTCAATGGGTGGGTTCATACACCACAATATTTCTTTTAATTTATTGAAAGGTCTGTGGGTGAAAACTTTTTCTTTACGGATTCCTCAAAGTAAAAATATGCCTCAATCCTAGGTCATCACTACAATAAAAATATCCAAAAACTGAAATTGCTCAGTTCGGTGAGACTCTTATTTTAAATAACTTTAATGCTGTAAATGTTCTGTTCATCAATCTGTGTAAATTCCAACTCAGATTGAGTAGTTATGTCACCTCAACTTTATATTTCTGTTATGGGATCACTTGTTTTCTAATGGTCATATAAAAGAAAAGTATTTTAGTCCGGCCGTACATGGACCACATATGAGGCAACCACAACATTGTGGTCACGTTGACTGCACTTTGCAGTTGACCCAACCACATTTTTGTGGTCTACTTGCAGCCAACCACACTTGCAGTTGAGGCAACTGACATCAAAAATTGAATGCTGTGAGACCAATATGAGAAAAAGTACACCACGATGTACGCGGTTGGGTACGACTGCAAGTTTGTGGTTAGTGTACGGCGGATGTCGCGATGACATCTCGGCGTAGATCAGACGGCAGCAAACGGCAGACGTCAGTTTTGACTTTGTGAACGCCCGTGTACGTGTAGTATAGTTTTTCTTATGGGTGGCTTGAGTTCGCTGGAACGCGACTGCAATTATGTGGTCGATCCGACCGCAAAATGTGGCTCGTGTACGGGGGGTTCTTATTGTATATTTCAATTTTTTCATGAAAATGATTACATATTGTCTTTTCCAAACCATTGTACTAAATGTTTACCAAATTCTGTTCTCAGCAATCATTATGATTTTTGATCTCTAACTGTTTTTATTTCTCTTTGTTTATAATGTATAATTTAATGATGAAAAATTCTCAAAAATACTGCATCAACTATTTCTTACCTCTCACTTAATACATCGGACACGATAAAGAACGGAATATTTATACTTGATACGATATCTGAAGCAGCATTTGGTAGAGATGTTGATAAAAATAATTTCATACAATCTTTTCATCTGAAGTCAAGGTCACTGGCATCAAACCAAACATTTCATATTATGATTTCAATAATATTTTCGGTTGCATATAATTCATGAGAAGGGAATATTTTCAAACAGGATTCATGTTGAAAATACTGTCCTCACAGTCTTGCTTGAGGAAGGTATCGTATAACGTTTCGTAAACTAATCACAGTAGGTATTATGTATAAAAGTTTAAAGAAACAAATAACATATTAAAATCGGGTCGCATCGAGGAAAAATTTAATAAAAAAAAAGAAATGGTTAAATTGTGTTTTTAAAGCCATAACTTATTGAACGGAAGGTTAACCAAGGCTACTATAATATAAAGGCCGCTTTACGTTTAGGGAATACAATAAAAAAGTTGCACGGAGTATATTGAGCAGCAAAGAATTGTTTTACATCACAATTCATTTTCCGTCTGATTCGATTCCATATTTTGTTAGCTCTCTAAGGAATTTCCATTGCGGCATTACCAAGTTATTCCAGAAAAACCTATTTAGCAGACAATATTTTTATAATTCACCACCCACATGTCTACAGCAACTACAGCGAACTTTTTCGAATAGAACACCTTGTATTTTTTCAAAAAATTATGGAATCGAATGACGTATTCATATACTGGGTGTTCTATTTAAAAAATATAACTTTGGTTGGCCACGCTCGGCTGAATCACCCAGTATGCGGGAAAATAATTTTGAAAGGTAGTAATTATCGATATAACTGCGAAAAAATGAGTAATTCGAAAAATTGTTTTCCCCGATAGCAATGAACCGATGGAATCTTGTTGACTCACCCTATATTTATCACATGTTAAGAGTTATGTTGATACTTGATTTGTTTCAAAAGTTTTTTTTTTTCATATCACGTATTAAAAAGCATAACACTTGTGTAAATCTGTTACCTTTCAGAATATCTAGTGAATTGTGGAATATCGGTTGCATTGAAAATCGTCAAAAAATCACTGAATTGCTATTGTAACGCAACTGAATTAAAGCGTGCTCGGTTTGCTTGCAATAGTCTGAAAGTTATAATAGCTGATTGCAAAAGCATGTTGCAAAAGCGGTCTTAATATTCATGTGTCACTGTTTCATATCATAACAGTGGGTTGATTTATTTCACCAAAGTTTTTCATAGGTAATTATCTTGCCATTGATTCATGTTACAAAGTGCAGCTGTTTTTGTAATTTTCGAATTTCGGAAAGCCATATACGTTTTATTTTGAATATTGTTGATACTGAAATATATATACCTAATTTGAGATATTTTTCATTGAATATCAGGCCTCCCTATAATACTATGAAAATTAGGTGCGACCTTGTTCCTCCATTTACCAGTCTTCTATTGATGACCTTGAATAGATGTTGGCAAACAAAAATAAAGTAGAACCGATTCGATTTCGCTGATAACGACTGTTGAATATTCGTAGAATAAAGAAATATTGATCGATATAAATAGTATGTTATTATATAACTGACGAAAACTTTTTTTCATAGACTTGGTAGTAGAAATTGTTGTACTGAATTGATTTCTACCTGGTATGTGTCAAAATATCTTTAACTTTTGTTACCTTAGTCCGCAGTTGTGTAAGTGAGCGTTGCAGTGGTTTCAGTAAGAATAATTGAAAGGACTGTGATAAAGGGCAACAGAATGTTTAGCGAAATTGTGAACAAAAAGTAGAATGGAAGATTTTGAATCCGGGGCGGAAACCCACAAATTCATTACCTTACGGTCTCCTACGTTCTGAAAAAATTCATTTGACATTTATAGAGGAAATGCACTGTGCAATTGAGTTGGAAATATTGTATTTTTTTTTATCTGACACTACTCTTGGTTCGTAAAAAATGTATAAGGCGTGGAGTGAGTGGAGAAGCATACGTCTCCTTTTTTATGAAAAAGATGGAAGAAAATCGCAACATTGAGATAACTGAGGGAAAGTTTCTTTGTGCAATTATTATTCATTTGTTGTTAAGTTCAAACAAAATGAATATCTTTGTTATTAAAAAAAGTTAGGCGTTTTTATAATTGACCTTCGGTGTTTTCTAATAATCTCCAAATATTACATACTTTCCTAGTGATTCTAAAAAGGCTCTAAGAGTCAGTAGGGACAAAATTCACCATTTTTCCAACCTAGTCACATCCACTCTTATATCTTCATGAAACAATGGAAACCCCTCCCTTGAACTCTCAGAGTGTGAATAAGATTAGTGTCCTACGTTACCTTTTTGCGTAATTAAATTCTCAAAAATACTGCATCAACTATTTCTTACCTACCAAAATCACATACCAAAATTACTTGTGACGGTAGAGATATGCGATGCAATAAATATCTTGGCGTTTCTCCAGAAAAAGTTGATAAACAAAAGGAACCAAGAATTGCACCTTCAGAACAGAAAATATAGAAAATTATATATGGAAAGCATAACTATTTTTTTTTTAGGAAAGAACGTTTTTGGCTTTCTACCTACTACTCCATCTTGATACAAAAAATGTGGGAATCTTCCAAATATAAGAAGAAAGCAATCAATTTCAAGCCGAAAACTTTCTTTCCCAAAAAATTAATCACTCCTAAAATTATAACCCTTTCAATATTTATCTTAAAATTCCATTCCATAACAAATTGTTCCCTGAACTATATCTTTTGCTCGTATGAGTTCTGTGCATTTTTTTGACAGTGTTATCGTCTTTGTAGCTTTTGTTAAATATTTTTAGCTGAAAATGGGCATATTTCACAGGTTCTGTTGATACATGTTTGTTTTTTATCGAGATCTTTCATTCGACTTTTATAGTACAATGCATTCGAATGAATTCCCGAACTGATTTCATTGTTTTAGTCAGGGTTGTACTTTTGGGATGCTAAACGAGCAATTTATTCAAGATTTTTATATCGTTATTTGCTCGAAATCACTTTAAAATTCTCCAATTAATCAGATTCATCAGGTAGCATAAATGTTACTTTTAAGATATGTTGAATATTAATATGAATAATGTGAAGAATTTACCCACTGTTCAACTTCCCCGCATGCCCCCTCCCGGGTTGATTGCCCTGAGATGAAATCTTCTCCACACGGTTACTGTGTGCAGACCCATCTCATCCATCCACCCCGCTCCCCAGGAGGCGTCCTCAACTTACTGAGGGGCACTTCAGCAAGATTGACATCTGACCTACTGCGGTCGAAAGCCAGCCTTTAGGTGCTTTTACTTTCTAATCTAATATTTTATTGTGTCGTGAGTTTACTTGAATGTAATTATTGTAAGGGGCCCCCAAAAACTAACCGGAGACGAGTGCCTTCAAATCGCGAACAAGTGTTTCTCAGTAAATCTGCAAAAGAAGTGGGATTGAAATATGGTTAAAAAGTTTTTATATTTACCGGAGCTGCCTGATAGCGACTCTCGGGGGTGGTCTCTGATTCTGCTTGGTTGGCCTCCTGTGTTTATCTCTTTCTTGGAATCTGGGGGTCATCCCTATTTAATGCTTCG